AGTATACCACAAAACCACAAACCCATATTCAGCGTAATCTAGAAAAATTTGGCACAGCTTCGTAATCACTAGATTTTTTCCAAAGGGGTTACTCAAAAGACAAAGTCTACGCTAGGATACCTGAAACGGTCACTGAATTAAGAGAAGCCATTAAGCATGAATGCGTCCAAATCCCAAGGGAATTATTTCATGCCGTGTGCGATTCGATTGCCTGGCATTGGCAGTAGTGTCGGGATCAAAATGGACGTTAGTTCGAGAACAAGCAGTAAAAAACAATAAAATTAAACTTGAAAATTATTTTTACCCTTTTGAAATATTAAAATTCCAATTGAACGCCATGTTTACAATTAGCCTCAATATGCATACACTTTTTTAGACACCATGTATTACTGCCTCAGTCTTCCTCTTTTCCATCCCCAGAAAGAGAAGCGCGCAATTTCTACAGTATATCAAGGAGAGGTGTCAAAACTTGCTTCCATTCTAACCATTAATCCGTTAGTTTTTATAGTACTAACGTGGTGGTTGATATCTTGCTTATCCGCGAACATTTCCTACATAATACTCCGACGAGTTAAGGTCTGGAGAGTTGAAAGACCATACATGCACTGGGACATGTTTGGTTTCAAAAATTAGTTTGCAATCATTATTTGCCTTTATCTGAAGGATTGCAGGGAACTTTTCGAATACTGCTACTGATAGGCACATGATATACAATCGGTTTCTCGCGTTCCCTATCCAAGCCCTAGTCACTGTAGTGGTCAACGATTCAACATGGTCATCTGAATTCAATATAAGTGCCTCTTTAAAGAAATGCGGATAAGAGCAAGATCGTTTGGTCAAATTTAGTCAATAGGACTCCAAATGTGCTTTAGATCTTGGCAATATTCACCATTGGAAGAGGAACCGTACTGTTCATGCTTCAGCAGGATATTTCACTTTATACAGTTCACTTTCTTGACCATTCCTTCGAGGCTTTTGCCTTTGCAATTCAGCCTCTGAGCAAATATTTTTTGCTCTAATTTTCTATGAAAAAGAAAATTGAAAAAAACTACCTTACACTCGTTCCTCTTGCTTTTAAATTGGCTTCCACTTCAACTATTGAGTCCACATTTCAAAGAAGGCAAATTTCAACACTTAAAATGAATTTCTTTACTCCAATCTATGACAATTTTCATCTAATGAAATTGTTTTTGCATACTTCGGAGTATGGTAAATTTTTCTCACAGGTGGTCTGTTAAGGTGGATTATTTTTTTCGCCACTAAAGCTACGTTCTTTATTTCTTTCATAAGTATAAAATAATCATTTATTTTATTGACCAACAACTAGCGATTGAAATCTGTGAAAGATTTTGTGAATGCTAAAATATCGGGTTTCAATTGACACCATCATCTTAAGACGATCAATTTGAACGTCAAACTCATCTCAATTGTTAAAAATTTGGGTAAATGTGTAAATTAGAACTCCTATATTTCCTAAAATGGTGACATTTCAATTCCTTTGAAATGGAATCGGTGCCGAATTTCAGATGACAGTTTTGGCGGACGCATGGAACAATTATTTGTAATTGACGAAAGTGGCTCTAGGCATGCCTAATAACTTTTAGCCAACGTGAAACATGCGAAATATTTGAGCTAAAAGAACGGATAATTGGTTGAATCGTGCTTCTATTGATGTGGAATTAACAATGCCATCTGTATTTTTTCTTACTGGAAGTGAAAATTGCCGTATACATTAAAGAAACGAGTTGAGGTGATTTTGGCTATCGCAATTTTTGCTCAGTGATAGTTAATGTCATAGCAACTAGAACTATTTAAATTCAGACTTAATAGAGGGGTTATTCAACGTGAACCTTCAATTGTCAAAAAACGAATATTTTTTGCTAACTAAGATTATTATCAATCTCTTTTAAATACTGAAAACAAGCTATAAGAGGGATATCTTGCCGGACGCTGAAATATTGTCTAGGGTGCTTTTTATTCCTAATTATATGATGTAATAAGCAATAAAATGTCCTTGAGCAAATAACATCTGGTAGATTTAAACAATTTTATTGGAACAAAATCACTCCCATTTATGACGCACTTATGCTCATAATAAACACTTTTTACTTGAAGACAAACCGTATTTGTAGTCTATTTTGTAGTAGTACTAAATGAATTTCAGAAATTCCCCACAACCTCTAACATGACATTTACCTTTGAACATTTAATTACCTTACTTCTTAACCAATTCAGTTTCTTAGTGGTTATGTTATTTTTAACACGGGCTGATGCCTATTTTCTCATCTTCATAGCTCCTTCCCTTGTTTCTTTACACCATCATTCAGTGCAATCTATCTGTAGGCGCAATGCTTAACTACATTGATACTTAAAGCCTTAACATTGCCATAAAGGTAGTTGCTAAATAGGGCGCTCTCTTTGTTTTGGAACAAATATCATGGGCAAATTTGGTGTAGGCTTTTAGGGATTTGGGGAGGTGATTTTGAGGAAAAATAGTTTCATTGCTTACAGGCCAGTACAACTGCCGTTTGCGGGCGTAAAGTTTATGCTAAAATGATTGCAAATGAGGCCAGTAAAACGCGAAACAAAGTCGAACATATGCTGCCCAGTTATGATTTCGTAACAGTGGCATAAGAATGGATCTATTATTTTACGAATGAACTAATAGTTAAGAGGAAAAGGTAAAGACATCTTTATAGAGATAACGAAGTTTGCATGCTTTGAAATCGAAATGGGAGCCGTTCTAATTTTAAATTGTGATACGTATGTGTGCATTATACGACGTAGAATGAAGGCGTTCGCTTTCACTCTTTCACGAACCAGCCAAAATTTTCCATATATAAGAAAGGAAATTCAGTGGCGTCATCTTCCTTATCCTATGTTGATCTGAAAAAGACCGAATATTTCTATCTCAATTCGAGTACGTGCTTTCATTCCATGACCTCTAAGATGAATGACCTGTAAATTTACCACAACATCTGGAACGGTGAAAAAGCCCTGGACAAAATATCAGTGGATTTCGGCAGTCAGTTGAAAGAAATCCAATTATCATATTTATCTTATTGATTCAAATTATCAAGTTCGATTGGGTGCTATCTCAATTTCCTTTAGTACAGTATTGAGGCTTGTAGAATTACTCGAGCTCTTTCAGGAAAGATTTTTGTCGTGGAAAGAGTGTAAATGTTTTTTGGCTGCCATTTCTAAAAACGAACTTTCCCGTTGTCGAATTTTAATTGTCATGAAATAGTCCAATTGTCCAATATTAGCACAAATGCTGATGTGGCTGCTCTTTCCTCAGAGACAACTTATTCTCCCTGATGATAAAAGGTAATAATTTCACAGCTTAGAGCATTTCAGTTCTAATGACAACATTTATTTATATCAAATGGCATGCTTTGTGAAAGCTGTCGTTAGTCCTTTAGTTGACTTTGAGCCACGCAGGGAGGAGGTGCATCGAAATCACAAAAAGTGGAGAGGGAACAGAAGAGCGATTCAAAGATGTAAAAGAGACATTGTGACACAAAGGAAGAGAGGTGAGGTGAGGACTGGGGAAGTGGACGAAAGTGGCATACAGTGAGATGATGGTAGTTTGAAGTCGGTAATTAACTCCCTGTTTACAGACTTTTTAGCCGTATGAGTATACGTTTCCCAGGATGCACCATGTGGAGGTAAGTCTATCGCACAAACCCTAATGGTAAGATAATGTAAGTAAGTTTCCCAATTTTAAGGTTAATAGAATATTGAATTCGTCAAGTTTTATGGAGTAAGTAATTATTGACAATTCAGATTTTATGTCTGACAGCCCCACAATACAAACTCGTTTCCTTCCTTAAATAACAAAAAAATAAATCATTTAGATTCTATAATTTCTAACTCAAGAGAGATTTGGTCAGATATTTAAGTGGCTCTATAATGGATTTCGACGACTAGACCTTACTTTTGTGGAGGATTGCTAACTTAGTAAAGCCTGACTGACTCAGAAATCTCTATGGCAGATTCTCCAACATCTAGCTAGACTCCCAGAACCAGCTAAGCTATAGCCCAGCTACGAATGGAAACAGACGTGTAGCACGGAGCACGTTAATTCAGTGGGTATATTGCGGATAAAGTGTGTACACGCGGGGAGGTACTCATGATCAGGATGGGGGATTAGGTTAAACAGAGGTTGATGATTGGTCACTGTTTGTACGGTCGCTGCACACAGAGTTGTACGGCCGCACCTCCCAATCCTGGCGAGCAGACATGCAGGCATACGATGACGCACACAGCGATAACGTGTCCCACACTTCAACAGTGACTTTTTTGTGTTGAGATCGCAACATCCCTTATGGTTCAGAATGCTGATTTCCACTTACGCCACTAGCAAATTGTCCCCCCTCCCTTCCCTCAATCAACAGTAGACGCATAACTCAAAATCCTACTAGATATGATTTACAACTATACCAATAATCACCATAGATTTTGGAACCTCATCCGATAAATAGCTATTGTCAACTAGCAGGCTATTGGAAGTTGAAAATCTGAAAAAAAGTACTTTGAAATTTCACTGTTAAAAGTGGGGAAGTCATAGACGATGCAAAAGCCAATACACATTTCTTGCAGAATATAGCCACCTTTCCTACTATTTGGACAATATTTACGGAAGCAGGTTTGGTGCAGACGAACTAACGCGCATGCGGTTAGACATTCAATGCACAAAAAGCCTACATTACAGCAAATACCAAAGTAAAGAGGAGAATAACAAGAAAGCCTGACTATAATCCCCTTTTGCAAATCTCAAATTACCAAAACCATATTTTCATCTGTCACTTCTTTTAAAAACATCATCACAAGACAAATAATCACAAATAATAATCTAGGAGAGGAGGGGGGAGGGGGGGGGAGAGAAAAGAAGGAGAGCGAGAGACAAGACATGAAAATGGTCATCCGGTTAAAAAGATGAGGAAAAAGAGGAGACGGGACACAACGGCAACGGTTGAAGAGGTGAGGTGGAATACCGGTCACTTAGACACAGTAGTAACAGGGGCGTCCAGGGGCTGAGAGTGGGGATCAAAAACGTCGGGGAAGAGTTCTAGGAGGATATGATCCAGAAGGGTGTATGTCAACTGCTTGTTCCACTTCCCGTGTTGGAATACTTCGAAAACTCGAGCGAGTCGACGTTGCAGGGCATCACCCTCTGAGAACCATTGGAGGTGACAACCTAGAAATGGAAGAAACAGCATGTTCAAAATATGAGTTCAGTGTTGTGGAGATCATATGAACTGCTTAAAATCAAGTAAGACCATTACGGTTTCACAATTTTTTTTTAAAAAGAAATGAATTGAAGCTGCATGACCAAATTTCACAATTAAGCAACCGGTTAACAGACACTGAATATCATGGACTCGAAGTTACTCGATAGTTCCGGGCATGAATAGTAATTATTTTGGGAAGTAACTGACTTCAAAAAAAAACAGAGACAATATAATGATAAAGAGCATGGAACCGAAAGATGTAGAGAACCAATTCAAGTTATCAAAGAGCCTTAATTCCAAAGATTTTAGAACTCTGATTGCACGCAAAATGAGTAGTCTACTCACTAGGATTCAAGTTCCACGAGTCGTCTGCTGGAGGAACGGCTCTCACTTTTAGATAACAATAAACTAAACGCGTCCGCATTCACGGTACTCCCACACACTCTCGATAACTAAACGTACCTACTCAAGCACGAAGTCTTCTAATTCAAGGCACAAATAATGAATCGACCAAAAGGCAACAGTCGTAGTAATGCTTTGATCCTACAATTAGGCTCTTTCAATCCCCAACCCTAAATTCCAGTCACTTAAATCCGTGTTAACCGATTTTTAATGATTTCCCACCAATGGAAAAAATTGCAAAAAAATTCTCCAGATTTGGTATGCATTGGTGGAGAATAATAATGGCACATTGATCCGGCCTCCACCTTTGTATAGAAATAAGTATTTAAATTAGCGAATTGGGTTGATGATTACATTGACGAAAGGATGACATTCGGGAAAAAATGTATCATCCGTGAGGGAGTTAGAAATAAGCTAATTTTCACTTCCTACACAGAGAGATCAAATGCCGAGCACTCCCAATGGATGTCTCTGCACGATAACGTTCAATAGTTAAAAAGATCCAAACGAAAACTAAATAAATTAGAGCCCATCGTAGCATACCGTATTGGGGAAAAGCATTCGATTCCACTCTCCATCTAATTCTAAATTAGAACACTTGACTACAAGATATCATTCACTAATATTTACCAATAGCACAGCCTCCTATAACCCAAAAGTCTTGGCACCATAGTTCAATTAAATATGTTGAATGGAGTTGCTACACAATGCAGGCTACGGCGTTCTATGCAATGACATGAGCACATAAAACGAGCCAGGAAAATTTTCAAGAAACATATCGATGGGTCCGAAATAATCTGGGTCACTTATTCTACTGACTAGAGTGAAGTAGGTGCAAACACTTATTCAATTCAATAGAAACAGCCATAATCGATGAACTCGGTGTAATATTAGATCCCTTTACGAACCGCACACGCAACTCAAAGTTCAGATCAATCTTAAGCTGGTCAAAGAACGAAGAATTCATTCAAAAACCTCATATATATAAACGTCAGTTAAATCAACCAAGAAACGATTTTCCTTCACTAAATCTTAAAGCATCTTCTGTCTGGCCAATGTGTTGCGTCAATATTGTGAACATCAGTTGACTTGAGAATGCCTCATCCCCCTCCCATTCCATCCGCTCCCACCCACAACCCCCCAAGGAAAAAATTATACAAGTGTGAATTCAAGGTTAGATAAAAAAGCAGAACATACTATTTATAAGACGTATTAATCCTATGTACACTTTCTCCCGACGGGCAGCCTTTTCTCGCTCGCTCCTATTAAAAATAAATGGCAAAAAATGGAAATAAACTACAACATCCGGCAGCGGGATTGGAGAAATTTTGCGGTACTTACCTAGGAGGTGAGGGGAAGAATATTGAATCTGAAACAGATAAAATCAAAAATGTCCTTCGTTGGTTCAATTACAGCATCTATACTAAATAAAATGCAAGCTTACTTCGAAGGAGAATCAGCATCGATGCCAGAACATCATTTCGAACCAGGAGACTCAGAAATCTGTCCACTTGGCGTCGCATATGAAGATCCACAAAGTCACGAAACTGAGTGGCTCGAAGTGCCAGGCCAACATTGAGTATAGCTCGACGTAGGAGACCGGGAAGGTACTTTGGGTGTGCACCTACTGATGATATACTCAATCGATTCGGTCTCGGAAGGTCTAGGTCTTCGAAAGGCCAACCGTTCCTCCCCAGGGCATAAATGATTTCGTACCTGAGTTGAAAGAACATTTACAAGTGCAGGCAATTCTAATCATTTAAAGCAAACGTTCCAAGACAAAAATGTGGTTAAATATCTCCAATGTCAAATAAACGTTAACATTTGCTGACATCGAATTCACGATATATTCAATTTTTTCGACTTTTAATAGAAAATTGCATCTTCCTTATGCCTAACACATAACTTTTCTAGCCCTACCCAACCAATTAGTCACGATTTCGGATTGCTGGTTGCAAAACAGTTGTCTTCTTGACCATTTATTTAAGCTAAAACATTCCAAGTCAATTACGGAAAGTGTTCGCAAAACCTGACTTGGGTGGTGGGCGGAAATTAAGAAAACCACATTGAAACCTCTTACTGACCAGATCTAATCAATGTGGTTAGCCATACCCATCGACTGAACTTGAATGCTGATCTTGTGATTTTTGACTGGTTTGAAATTCGAATCGATCATTACGCCACATCTTCTGTCTTCTTTCCTAGCTTATGACAGAACTGTTCACAAATAAGGGAAAAAACTTACCAAATAACTTTTATGACGCACCAACAAGACGTTCCGATTCGTTGCACCCACGAGAGAAAATCCTGTAACACCGAAAACTTTCCAGCTGTAGAATCCACTCTATGTCGTCGAGTCAGAGGTGGCTTGTCATCCTCTGATATCACCTTAACATTCGAATCGGGTTTTCGGAAATTATCCACCAGATAGCCAAAGAGATCGTAAAAACTCGTCACATATGAACCCTCCATTGCACAGAACTTCAAAAATATTAAAGTTAAATTTCATACTACTTATAAATATTAAAGTAGATGAATAAGTATAAATTAATCACACCTCGGAAGAGTATCGACGCTTCTGAAAGTTGGGGATTCCAGCATTGTTCCAGTAGATATTAGAACGCAGTCGGTGATCAAGTATGGAAGATTTGGTCTGGTAGCCGTCTACATTCTGATTTATTCCGACAACCGGTGCCTTCAAATTTGAGTTTTGAGGTGGGACAAAGCAGGATGTACGGAAGGTGGTTAAGAATTCATCGGTGAATTGACCTTTCTACAATGCGGTTTACTTCCATAAAAGTGAGCTAAGATGTAGGTACGAGAAGACTTGCAATAGCATGAGTTGAATTAGCTCAGATCTCACATAAAATATGCTCTTACTTCATTCACTGTAGTGCCAAATTGAGAGTGCATCTCACTTGGCAAGTCATTTCAATTACTTTTATGGCATAATAGGATTATGCTACCATCGGAAAAATCTTTGTTTAAATATACAGACACTTTGTATTTGCCACACTAGTTAAAACAAACAGAGCAACGCATTTGGTAATATTGAATGAGTATTGATTTGCAAGAGCAATTGCAAACAAGCAGGCGGTCTCATAGAGAATGTTTCCAACTTATCCAGCATTCTCAATGGTTTGGTTCATGAGACTTAACAGTAGGTTTTTTCAAAATTATTATAAACTAGGAATTGTACCCAATATTAAGGTTAATTAGACTGTCAACAGTAATAGTAGATATAATTAGTTAAGCGTAATGTGACTTATTGCCCGAAGAAAACAAACAAATTTCATGATCGGAATTCAAGGTTTCTAGGCGAGCTTGTCCACGGAATATTCAGAGCTTATTGACCAAAGTAAACGGCTGATCGTGCCATCCAATAGTATTTGGGTATTCTAATGGATTCGAAACTCTGTTCTACATTAATTGGCTCACTGGAATTTAACCACCAATGATTGGCTAAAAATAATATTGTAAGTTCAACTAGGCAATTCAATACGAAAATTAAGAAGTAGAGAATATACTCACAATTTCAACCAATATTTTGTGAGTAAAATATCACTAATACACTTTTTTGTTAAGGTCGTTTAAACATCAAATTGACGCACATAAACTAACCTCTTTAGCCAGAAGAATTGGAACAGACTTGACGAACTTGCCGAAGCGAAGATCTAGAAGAGTGCTACTAGTGAATTCCACTTCGGGTGCGGTAAGGAAGGTGTACATCAATTCGCTTGATCGAAGAAAGCGCTGAGTTAGAAGATACTGCAAAAAAGGAGGAAACAAGTAAGATCAGAATTTGTCTGCAATAATCAATAACCCACAGGAATTAAGAGATCAACTTCAGACGTCACTCGAAAATAAGAAACTACTGAGAAGCTACTTAATTACTCATTTCTTACTAAAATTAAAATTAAGCAGTTCCTTAAACCAATCGATATACCATTTTAGAAAAAAATGACCTTGAATTGAGCAGGACAGCTTGTAATTATGTTTACAACGATCAAGGCATCTGTTCTGCATCCATTTTCAACTCTGCGTTAAAAAGCCGGATTTTGGAATTCATGATAGTGTACGTTGTTAAGCATTCCAATGGCTCCAGATTTCTCTAATTCACAAAGAATAGTAACAGCGAGAAGTTTGTGGTTGTTATTATGAAATTGGAAAAAAGCAACAATAATTCACCATTCCAAAGACATGGAGCCCATGAGGAGTAATTTAGAGATAATGGAAGATGTACAAGGATTAAGACTTTAACATTCTACTTTTAAGCAACAAGACATTGAAGAAGTGCATAACTGAAGTTGGTTACTTATAACTACTACTGTCATCTCTCATCCAAAGAACGTATTACCTCATAAGTATCAAACTACTTCATTTTTTGTGTTGACGTAAAAAAGGCTAAGTAATTGGGTAATGAGAGGTGAGATATTAAAGGCCTTATCTAACGCTACAATCAAAAAGATCGATGTTCTTTAATAGCTGCCCTGTGAATACACTCTCTGAGCGTTAACGTCATTTCAAGAATTGCTGAAACCCACCTTTCCATCTACACAGGCCTCTCTCTCACCTACCAGGTAACTCTTCAATCGCCACTGTTCTCCCTCTCATTCTCGCGGCCTCAGCCGATTGGCAATAAATCAAACTACCACACCTCATAAACTTGACACCTCTCTATTTTTTTGTATGACGAAGGTCACCAATCAAAAGCTGATCTTAACTCTAGAGTTCAGTGACTATCCCTCTCAATTTTTGAACTTAGATTTTACGAAATAGGAGAAAAATCAATTAAACTCCGAGTCGGAATTATGGAGGAGAGGTTGAGTTGTTTGCGTTTTAAAGAGCGCGTAAATTACAGTAAATCAAATTGAGGAAAGCAAGTAGTGACAGCTATTATCCCACCACCAATGTAACGTCTTGTGACTTCTTGTTGGCGCCATCGAAGGAACTCCGTGAAGGACAGTGGAAGTGAAAAGATATCGGGCGTTACCGACACTATGTCTGGATTGCGGTTCATTTCTTTGCCCTTTGGTTTCACAAAAAGGCTAGCTTAGTCCAATAGGAAATAAGGTTAGCAATTGTAGCATTGCCTTGTTTCAGCTTCAATCTTTACACAAACACCCACCTCGTGAGGTAAATTCGGAGGGAGTTCCGCGATTTTGACCTCCAATATCGCTCGAGTAATAAAAATGCAATCCCTATCCCAACTCAAATTAGAAAACGCTTAATTTCCCTATATGAAGATGTAAATTAAAAGTGTCAATGAACCAAATGTTGATGCTGTGAAAACCAACCCCACTTAAGAAGATTCACAACATTCAACCACCAAATCATGTACGATTCCAAATTCTTGCCTTCTTTTGCCAAAAAACAAAATTCGACTAAGCTTAAAAACTCCATAATTATGAACAAAAAAATTAATAGAAATCTCACTCTTTACAAAGCCTGTATTTATTTGTCATTTTCACTTGGTAACTAATACAAATAGGCCCCAACGCTCTCAATTATCTCAGATCAAAAATGTCTCAAGAAGCAACGATCACGCCGCAAGATCTCAAAAGATGTCAACTTTTCAGAGAATTGAAATCTCTTCGCTCAAGTAAGTGCTTGAAATCTTCTATTCAAATGAAAGGAATTATTAATTCTACCAACGCGAACTGATAAAGACCCAAGGTTCGGAAAGCGAGTATATGCCCTCTTTCCTATAGCATTTCGACTATGACCGTTTACTTAAAACATCGTGTATTTTGGTGGCATGTTCACTTAGTGAAGCATTTGATCACAAGTGCGTGGATGAGTGTTTCAGCAGGAAACCAAGACCATAAATGAAATTTTCAAATTAAAACAAAAACAAAAGAAATGACTAAATCAACCAAGTATGCCAGATTTCAATCTCAGCACAATGAAACTACAGAATAGTTTAAGAAGCATACCCTGATATATCGTTCGAAGTAGGTTCTCATGTTCACAAGGAATTGATGAGATTGGGCCCCATATCGTCGTGCAGGTAGACGTCGTGATATTTGGGATCCATGGAATTCAACTAGACGCTGTTCTAGAACGTAGAATTCGGCGTATTTCCTATTTTTTACAGATAGAATTAAACACAGTAAGTTAAATTGTGAGTTTCCGTCATGACGACTTTGGAAATAAATTTAGTTGCCGTTAAAAGTTGTGAGCACATAAAGATGATATTTCTGATGTGACATTTTTTCAATTTTATCCATGGATTTAAGGTGATTTACTATTCAAAGTTTCTTATTTTTCGAGATAAGAGTTGAATAAGAACCTGCACGCAAACCTGGAGATCGTTATCAAATTACGCGAAATTAGTTTTCCACCCTTGTAAATCGATGATGAAAATTATACATTTATTTTAGGCATAAAAAAGCTACTAGTAGGTGACCTTGTGGTTTAAATTTGAGAAAAAAAGCTTAACCAATAAAACAATTTTCATTTAAAATGGGGAAATCTAGAGACAGAGATTACAAGTTTATCGGAGAAAGAAAATCTTGTAACATCTCATGGGTATTTTCTTACGATTTCCACTCGAACTCAGGCAAATAACATAAACTTGAAAACTGCTTAGGAATGAAATATATGACCAATCACAATTCGATCTCAAAAGAAATCCTAACTTTTATGATGAAAATAATCAGTTTCAATTGTACTTGCCTTCTAACTCAATTGAAAGCCTAGTCTAAACCAAATTAACGAACTTTACGCGACCAAACAGGAAATAATTATTACAAAAGAATAGTTATTTTCAAAGAAAAATGACCTTACTGTCAACAATTTTCAAACTGAGTATTTAAATAAGCGAAATTTAGCGATTCGAAAAACTCACCGAGTAACTTTGCTAGAAACTTTCTTTCCGTTCACCTCTCTATCCGAAATCACTGTATAGTTCCCACATATCGAATTATTAAACAGTGAGAACAGTGAGAAATCAGGCTGCTCCAAATTCATCGTTAAAAGCATGTTCGAAGCGTTGGTGGTTGAAGTAGCACCATTTAAATGACTTCCAGGAATTCTAGTAAGATTTTTTTCCGATGCAGATGCATAGAAAGGAATGAAAACTTCCCACTTTGAGAAATCCAGTTCATGTATCTCGGAGGTTTCCACACTGTCATGTTCTTCAGGAGATTGGTCGTCATTTGGAGATGAGTTGAGAGCTGAGGGTGGGGCGATTGGGTTGATTTGACGACGTTGAAATAGAAGACGACGAGGACGTCGCCCTGTGGTGGACAAGTCGTCTTTTGAGCTGCGAAATAGACCTCCACGTGAACGTTCAAATTCGACCAAATCTTTATGAGAGGAGCTGTGCTTGGAAGACTTGTAGAAATTTTTTGAAGACTTATTGTGAACCGGATCTTTGATATCTGAGCGAAGTAAAATATTATAATTTAGTAAAAAGCCACTTTAAGTAGAGAAAAATAATTGACTGTAAGCCAAGGAAACATTAAACATTCGTAAGTTAAAACAAATCTATTCTAAAAACCTCCATGCAATTACTTAGGGCGACTTTTTAATCGAATCAACTGACACATTCGTTCTGCATACGTTGACGAATATAGAAAAACTTAACCCTAGAAATCAATATTTATTTGCCTGGAAGTGTGGAAAGCAAATTTTCTACGGTCTTATCACCTCTATCCACAGACATGTCCTTCTGGAGCATTAAAGCGTGAAAGATAGTGTTCGTAAAAGTACTAGCATTAGATTTCATGCTTGATAAGTTGATTAAGCTGAAAGCGTTGCTACAAGGATTTGGTTTGAGCTCAATATGATGAAGACGTGCAAAATAAATAAAAAAGCGAACTTACTGGGTATACCATTTGTGCCAAAATAGGGGTTTTCTTCATTTGGAAGGAAAAATTGATGTCTGTCCAAAAAGGAGGGTATACAATAAATATGGGAAGCATGATTTCATTGGTGCAAAATTTAGGAAAGGACTCACTTGGGCGTGGCATTCGGTGACGAAACACCAAGTCGACCTAGGTATTCAGGGCTCTCCATGTAAGCAGGGAGGTAAAAAGTCTCCATCGTTGAGCACATGGTTCTGAAAGCACTGAACAAACAAGACAAAGAAAATGGAGTTTAAAGATAGCGCCAATTTCACCTTATACTGAGTAAATGTGGAACAACTAAGGTTCTCTTAAATGAGATTAGTCAACCGAAAGAAAAAACAGAATGTTAATATCAAGGCTGTGAATCATTATAGGATTAAATTTAAGGGATTTACTACATAATCAGGTGTTTGTGGACAATAATGACAGAGTAGCGACGGAAGCTGATGAAAAGAAGAGATGTCATTAGAGCAAATATGCAAACCATAAAGAGTTTGCCAAAACAAAGCCAAAAATCTCCAGATCTCCGGGAGAGTGACAATCCTGCTCAATTGTCTGGTTTAAGCAAGTGTGCTAAGAGAAGAACATCCATTTTCAATAAATTTAAATTGAATTTCTACATAATACGCGTCAGGTAATAGCGAAACGATTAGCACGAGAGCGACACCTCTTGCAGTGATTTAAATAATTACATTTGTATAAACATTTACAAGGCCATCAGTACCTCCACAAGAAGCAAGTTTATTAATGAATCACAAGGGCATTTAGTAATATCAAGCAGGTTAGTGTTATAATTGCAACAAAATTCAAGATTGGACAATAAAATGAGGAGCAAAACAATTATAAGAAGGAAATCAAAGACAGAAAAGGTTGTCACAGAAACCCTCAAGAGTATTCCATTTCCTCCCAAATCGAGTCAAAAAAATATGGTGGTTTTCTCAAAACAATCGTTTGAAGGAGTTTGCACTGAGTCCAATATCAATACCCAGGAGAGCATTCTAAGATAAGCCGTTTCAACCATCCTCGTCACTCATAACAATAAAACCACCCGAAATTTGAAACTGACAGTTTTGCTGGTTATTGCACCCAATAGATAGATAGCTTCGCATTTCCGCGTTTTCACACAAATTCCTCTGATGTAGAGATTTAGGAAACAAGAGACTAAAATTGACATTATTAGCTGTCAGTCGTAAAGTTCAGTCGGATGACTTAACAGGAGTTTTGTAATAGGAGAAATAAGAGGAAATTCCATAGAAAATCGATGAACTTTGACATCTGCATTTTCCAGAAGAATCCGTTAATAGCACTTTATGAGACATTACTACCAAACAATGCCGAAATCGGGCTTCTAACAGTACTATGAGGATCTTTAAGCCTACCTTACCATGGCCTCTTGGCACTATTGTGGAAATGATGTAATTGAGAGAAAAATTGTGGTAATTCTAAGAAGGACCGAGACTTGTGGGTTGCAACATCAGTGGCTACGATTCCAAGCATATAACGGAGTTTACAGTCTAAATCCTGTCGTTCACCTCCAGCATACTTCCGCACATCCTATCGAAAGCTATCTGCACATAATATTTACACGGCATTCACTTTGCAGGTCATAAAACAGTGTTAATACACTCGGATCACCAAACACCATCTAAATGTCTATACACCCATTATATTTTACGTACCTGGTCCATTCTGGTGTATGAACCACCCTTGCAATACACAGGGGATCCATCTTATTATTCACAGCTTCAGCAATCACAGTCGTAAGACTTGGCGGCAAATTTAGGAGTTCATTTAGTTGAGAATATCCGGATGGAGATACAGCCAGTCCACAGTCTGAGCAGACATTGGAACCACCGGTGTGGGATGAATCGTGACTATGGTTGTGTTTGCCGAATGAATTGTGAAGATCCAAGTCTTCAGCAGCCATTACACGTCCACTGTACAAGAGGTGAAGGAGTTGATGGAGAGGTATCTTGAGTCGCTCACAGAGTGATGCGGATATGCACTCTGTCTCGATTTTATTCACTACTTCGACTACGAGGAAATTAACAAACAGAGCATGTGGTAATAGGAAATATACAATACAACGCAAAAGGTAAGTACTATGACAAATTGATCCCTTCGAAGCGTTATTGATTAACTAGTCATCACTAAAGTCTACAAACACATCAAATTTCCTGTTCAAATTATACATAATCAATGGCAAAAAAATATGGTGCGGTAATTTGGCTACCCAAAGAACTAGATTAAAACTCTCAGTTGGAAAAAAACATTCCTTTTTTAAAAGTGAAAACGCGCAAATAAGCATTCTAAACATCACTGCAACCTGAATCTAAGGAAAGAAAATGGAATCGACAATAAACACCATCGTCACGTAAATGGTGCAATGCTAGGCCAAACTACCACGAATAGAGTGAACATCTAATGTGTGTGTGTGTGTGTACATATATATATATATATATATATATATATATAAAGCACAGCTCAAATTTTGTGCATACTAGCAACATCACTACAAATGATTGAGAAACCCGGCTAATATGCCATAACAGTCAAAAAAAGAATTTTTGATTGTAGGGAGAGTAGAATAGAGAAAAAGCGTTCGTTCAAATAGAATGAATAAACAGCCCATTTCAATGATCTGAACTAAATAAAGCTAATTAAGAATTAACAAAAAACAACACTTTAGACTATTATCGGTGCTCATGAATTTGTGCAATATTATCGATACAGACAACCACACCAATCCATTGATCAAAATCAATCAACTCAATTGTGAAAAACAAATGAAAAATAGATAACACATTTCGGCTACACCTAATCAGAACCGAAGTGATGAGTCACCTTCTTGATGAGGTGTGTGTGTGTGTGTGTGTGTGTGTGCAACAAAGTTAACCACGAGCCTTGACTACCATACTTTGTGCAATTCATTAGCAAAATCGAATATGCGCCTTAAATGGAGCTTACACATTAGTAGAAGAACCGTCATGGTTGAGGAGGAGTTTATTGATTTCATATATTGCACAAAGTTGCCAAGTTGCTTCGGCTGATGTAGCAGGGCTTCCATTCGCATACTTGAAGGCTAAACGACGAGGGTGCAATGAGAACAAAGGTGAAATGGATTATTAATTGAAGAAGCCAGTTTGCGTTTCATCATAGCATTAAGAGAAAAAAAAATATTTTTTTTAAAAAAAGATCTCAGGGAAGAAAGAAAATCCCCTTTTATTGCGAACAATGACAACCATACAGATGGTCTTTTAGCTTTAGATTCTAAACTCGTGTTACCTACAAAGCTAGATACTTAAATGTGAGCTATTATATTCGCAACGTATACTCATACGGCAAAAAAGTCTATTTATCGGCAGGTGACTTCTGACTTCAAACTACCATGACCCTACTGTATGTCATATTCAATCACTTTCACCATACTTATCCTACCTTTTGTCTGCCTTTGTATCTGTCTGTCTTTTTAACATCTTTAAACACTCTTCTGTTCACCCCCCCCCCCTTGACTTTTTTTCGATTTGATGTTCCTCTTCCTCTGTGAAGCCTGAAGTCAACTAAAGGGCTAACGATAACCATCAAAACGCCTGCTATTTGATATAAATAAATAAATCTTAGCTCACCGATGAATTCCAATTGCATCTGATTGAATCGAGAGCTAAAATGACCACTTTTGACCTTAATTTCGATGTATACATTCATCGAGGTGAAGACTTGGTTTAATGCAAACAAAAAGAGGAAAGGGGACAAGTAAACCGAAGACCTCATGAAATCCAGAATTTAAGCCGATTAAAGTTAGCATGGCTCTCGTATTAGATACCGAGAGGCTAGTTTAATATCACTAATGGAGGTGAAAAGGAGAACGAGGTGAAAGTATCAAAGACATGACCGAAGAATGTCAACAGCATAAATGTTGAATAAACTGGTGGTAAAGCCTTTTATAAACTTAATTTATAACTAGGGAGAGAGAGAGAATTTTACCATAAAATGGATGAAATTATAATTGCTTTCAGGCAATAGTCGATCAATGAACAAATCATAATTAGGGAAAAAGATGATTGGTGGGGGATTGTGAGGCATTTTAACCGATAGTTACGAGGAATCTTGATCTCCACAAATTAAATTAAATTTTGCCAAATCGAAGTGACAAAATTAATCGAAAATGATTGAAGACATACCAGTTTTTTGGCACTTTTAAACCAGTCATCTATATAGTTATTCAACAAGGGAACCATTGGAGAATTTTTGGGATAATCGGCATTGTCCTAGAGGGAAAAAAGTTTCTTTAGGAACTACAATTGAAATTTATAAATTTATAAATAAAAAAACAACTTACAGTAATGGGATCCAAGAGATAGAGAAATACGGTATTTAAGGAATCCTAAAAAATCAAAAGAAGGTATTGAAAATTTCAATAGTTATAAAACATATCAATCGATATTCCAATTTTTTCATTATCACGGTCAGAAACTATCATAAACTCCAATGAATGTCTGCTCATGAATACTTAGTGTTTCATTCGAATTAGCGTTAGAGGGTCTATGTACATTACCTCCAATACCATTATAACCATGGAAATAGAAAGTGGACATTAAAATAAGCCATTAGTGACAGCAACAAAAATCATGAATTATGATAAATAAATAAGGAGAATTTTTATTGCACAAATAGGAGTAATTACTGGATTGGCTATTGAGTCAAGGGCAGGTAGGAGAACGTGGTTTGCGAGAACTTCTGTTAAGAAAGACCGGGTACATTGAGCTGCCTGAGTTTGGTTAGAACTAAAATTTAAAAGTAATACTTTAACAAAATATATTATTAAAAGTTATCAAAAACCGCAAACAGTTTAGTTAAGAGTTCAAATCCTAGCACCGTACTATTCACCGACAATCCGATGGCATCTAATTGAATAATTCACGACCTTTAGGGAAAAAGGGAATACACTAATTATTTATTAAATGTCTGCAGTTTTATCACTCATGATTAACAGGAATAATAGTGCTAAATGAAACTACAGATCAACGAAAAATCAATTCACCCTAAAAAGGGTTTTTAATATTTATTTAAAATGCCAGGCTTAATGATAGTTAACATTAGCCCTTTAGTTGACTTCGGGCCTCACAGAGGGGAGGAACATCAAAGTGGGAAAATTTCTAGAGGCGGAATAGAAGAGTGATTCACAGATGCAAAAGAGACAGACAGACATAAAGACAGAGAGAAAATGTAAGATGAGTACTGTGAAAGTAGTCCAATATGACATACAGTAGGGTCATGGTAATTAGAAGTCAACTGCCGAGTTGTAGACTTTTTTACCGTATGAGTATACGTTGCCCAGGGTGAACCACGTGGAGGGAAGTCTGTCGCCCACCCCGGGCATTTTATATTATTGCAATTGATTAATAAGAGAATTATTTACTCAAATACTAAAGAAAGATGAGGAAATGGCTTAGTCAATATTAACCAGCTGTTTGTGACTATCGAAGGAAAAAAGGTCTGATCCATTTCTTCAAAAACTGAAGATCTTGAAGAGTCAGATATTGATGGAAAAAAAACAACTTAAGATGACGCTGGAGACTGTCTAATGGAACTTGACTCATTACCCTATAAAACACTCCGAATGCGCACTCCTTTACTTTATTTACAAAAGCCATTCCCCTGTTCAACATGCTCAAATTCCTTATCATAAATGGAAATTGGGGTATTTTGTTTTGTGGTTGGTAATTGCTAGACATTCACAGTTACGATTTTTGCAATTAATATCAAACAGTTTGGAAATTTTGCCATTTGACTTTTGGCGTATATTTTGTATTTTTATCGTTCCTCTAAAATTCTTTAATTTACACACTTAGTGAAGAACATTTCAGCAAAAAAAGTAAATGTAATTGAAGATCTCTAGCCATTTATTAAAGCTTCAATATTTTCCTCAATTAATTTCAACTCACAAGGATGCAGTTCATCACTTCAGGTGCAATTTAATGCCAACAAAAGTAAAGCCAAAGCAAGATCATAACATACAACCGAACCCTTATTAGCGCAACTACTTGCTAATAGATCGCTTCCCGATCATTATAAACATAATAATTACCACCTTGAATCTTATCCAAACACTCTAGCAAACTTGAAATGAAAGACTGGCCGCCGCTAATAGCATACTCTGTTGACACCTCAACCAACCCGACTGCTTTACGCTGATTGGCTCATAAGGCAATATTTTGATAGGTGCGCCCACCTCTCAGACAAATCATGTAATTTAATGAAGGCCGACCCGAGTACTTTAAGGTGAGAAGCAGAATAAGCACGCTTAGCTCCGCGGTATCGAATTTCCATCGATCACGTGGGAGGAAGGAAAAAGTAGGGGAAAGTAGTACTAGTATCGTTGCGTAGTCACTAAGTCGTATACGTAGCAGTAGTAAAAATAAATGTCAGTTGTAGATCATTTACGTTCATTGAGCTTAAAGAAAATGTAAATTAGGTCGGCTGAAATCTTGCAATAAACTGTAAGCAACAGGATGTTAAAGAAAATAAGGTGAAAGATGGTTAAATTTCACAAGTGCAATGATCTTCACCACAACCACTATAAGAATAAAAATGAGAGTGAAAATCAATATGCACCAAATCATCGAGAAAAAAAAACCAAATTAGTCTAAGCCATTCCGATTTTTGACATCAAGCTAAGTGATCAGCCAGCACATAAGGTAATAGACAACATGGAGGCTGATCATTGCCACCATTAAAAAGCGTTTAACAAAATACCTATTGGTAAAAGGGTTTTATCATGGTGCTTTACAGGAAATAAACTTAAATTTCGTAACTTAAAAAAAAACCCAAGACCTCTACTGTCACCTATAATTCAGTTAAACCTCCACGACGTCAGCACACAACAGTCAAGATAAATGTGTTTATGCTATAGGGTCACAAGTAAGTAGTGATAGAATCGTATGAGGATTTAAAATAGGTAGCTTCAATTTAGCTAGAAAGACGATTACACGCTCTTAGATAAATGAAATTGAAAATTAAAAACTAAAGAAAGTAGGAGAACAAGTAATATATCGAATATATCTTAGTCCAATAGACATAACTCAAACCTACAGCAGAGTAGACCATTAATATAAATAAAAAGTCCTCCAATCGTAAATAAATAATGATAATTTTGGTTAAAAGCTAATGAAATGCGACTAAATAGATACTAGCACAAATTAGTAGTAGTAGTACTCTTCAAGTTACAAAATAATTGAAGGCGTTTCGAGTGCATAAATGCGAAATCAAAAGCAATACACCGTGGTAAGATTTGTACTGTAAAAGCAATGAAAGGGAAAAATTTGGCAAATATTAAAATAGACTCGCTTCATCAAGTTTGGATGCATGGATGCAACAGTAGGTTCGGTAGATTTTGGGAGCTGATGAAAGAATTGAGAAGATGAGAAAGCTTGATCAATAATATTTGTCCGTTGCGTAGATCCATTTACTCGAAATTGTGGTTTAGAGGTCGGCCTATTACTGTGCTTCAAGGTGGGTGGAATTAAAAGATGAGGAAGGAGTTTTCGGCAGATTTCTTGGAGGTACAAAGACTCCGCTTGTCGAGATTGTAGGGCCTGGTGAAGATGACCTGCAGAGTAGAGCCTTTGAAGAACAACCTCGTCTGCAGGTGGTGTGGTTTTAATATCGTCTTCATCGGTGGGTTCGAAAAAAGCTGTAAAATCGAGAGAAAAATGTATGCTGTTTAAAGACATCAAATTACAAAAAACTAATATTAAGGACGGCGATCAAAAGCAAATATGCACATTAACAAGCACAAGCAGGCCGGAAATCAAGTATGCATTATTCCGAATAACAACGTACCATCTAAATGACTAAAAACTACAAAGAGAGTGAATGAGAAGTGAACACGAAATGTTGCAAATAGGAATTTTAAAAGTGAAAACAAGATTACGTACCATTTGTAAGAGCAAGTAGGTGTTCAACGTGATGAACAACGCAGGGAAGGAGTTTTTGTTCAATGAGGTTAGAGATATCAACCTAAATAAATATATATTAAAAAGAAATGAGGGGCAATACGGTTCTAATTCGTAGAAGGAGAACACTGCAAATATGTTGAAGTTGGGCTTTAATGTCTGCAGTGAACTTCTCATCATCAGTTAATTTTCTACAAATACCATTTAAATAAGATTAAAGTATTGCCGAAATTATAACAAAGCAAAAATATTTGGACAGCAAACTTACGAAAACCATCGTAGAATATAACGCTCGATTACGATATCAAAAATCTATAAAACAGCATTGAAAGAAATAAAGGAAATACTTCTTGAAGATTTTCATTAGCATTTTGAGACAATTTTGGAACCCGTGGATCAAAAAATGAACGAGTGTATCTATGGAAATCATTTGATAATACATAAACCTACGTCAAGACGCCGCATCTGCAAAATGATACTGCTTTGAAAAAGTGAAAAGAAAATAGTGCTGAATTTTGGTTAGCATCCTCGAGTGAGTTTCCATGCTTATAAGTTCTATTAAGGTTGTTGCTAATAATGATATTTACGGAGATGAAAGTGAAATACCTTATAAGATTACTTAGGAAAAAACCAAAATAAAAGCAGATTAAAATTAACGGAATGAAAAAAAGCATGTCAATGATCTGCCATCGTAAAACGGGTCGGATTTCCGTGGGACGGATATAGTGAAATAAGTAATAAAAGCAAGAATACAAGCAGCCTTGGAATTCTGTGCCTAGCGCAAGCCTTGATAACACTTATAACAAATTTATGAAATTTATATTACAACCTGAGGCTTATTCTCCCCAGTAGTTCAATATTTTTAATACATAATATTTTTATAGAGTAATTTAATGCCTAATGTGTAGTAGTAGATAACCAAGGTCTTGTGGTATTTCCATATAAGAGTATTAAGTAAATTAATGATATTTTTGACCAAATTTAGGTTTCATTGTACCCCTAATTAAGAAATATGAATCATTACGAATTTATTTAGTTCTACTAATTCCTAAACAAGTGTTTGTATACAAATGCACTGTTAGCATACGCACTCATTTTTTACTTGATAATTAAAAGCGAAGTTTTTAGAACTCTCTTCCTTATTTTTGTACAAAAATTTTATTTAATTAACTTGGTTACGATCTCATTACAGCTTATAAATTACGATTGACTACCAAATCGGTCTAGGCAATTATGTTTATAGATAGGAATCAAGTAAGATTATATGCCACAACACGCTAAATAGATAAGTACTTCTTCTTTTCTACTTATTGAAGTTACTTTGAGATTAGTGGCATTTGTGCTTATAACCAAGTGTAAACAACAATTACTGAATCTCCAAATGTTGTCGTTGTCATGATGTGTCGTTGAACAAATTACTAAATGTTGTTTATTCTCTTTTTTCAATAGCAAAGATAAAACTACTCAGTGCCTAGCATGCAATATATTAAAATTGATGTCACCAAATGGTATAAAAATCAAATCTAAGTTACATCTAGACTTCAACATCTCTGCAAAACGCTTGTGATCTGTGAAGGTATCATTTTGAAATCAGAAGCATATTTTTAAAGATAAACTGTAACTTACGGTATTGATTCAATAATTAAACAAGGGTTAACCAAAATAAGCATGAATTTTCTTTAACAAATTTAACTTTATTAAATCTAATTGTCTTGTGCTACATTTGCTCTTTTTAAATGAAGTATTCATATAATTTTTGTGGGACACAGTGTATCTGATAATTTAGTTTCACTCGAATCATTTATCCTAATCAAATTTAAGATTTCATTTGCTCTTCAGATCTTTCCTTATTTAGCCACAGGCGTCTTCTCGATTGGCTATATACTCTACTATAGTTATCTTAACTGGTGAACCTTGGGTTCATAGTTGAAGTTACCAATGGAATCTTAATATAAATAATGGCCGCTGTCTATTGGAACTTGTTCTGCCATAAACTGAATTAGACACCACATGTTGATCATAAATATGTACTGTTAGAAGGAATCGCATATACGCTACCCTAGGTATTTAAACTAATTATTGTAATAGTGTTATTTGTGAATTCTTAACTAAATGGTCATTCATAATGTAATAGTAATGTTAATAGAAAGAAAACGAAGAATTTTCAAAATTCTCTAACGTTTCAGAGGATGAATCGCGACTGTATATTTTTTATTCTCACGAAAATTCATTGATGCTACTGCATTCGTGGGTCTCCTGTATAGTAGACCATAACTTGATCATCCATTTTTGAATCGAATTTAAATGAACTCAGATTATAATTCGATACCTATTCCACATACCTAGAGATCAACTAAATGAAGATATGCATGCTCAAGACAATTTCATAATATTTCAAATTCGGAGTGGAGAATCTCAAAAATATCCCTTATTAACATAAGAATTAAGTAATGGAGTATTCTATTCAGCTCCTAAAAATGTTTTTTATGAATGAATTTCGCAATCGATCACCCCCTTTGCTAATTTTGTTTTCGCTTCAACCGTATTGCAAAGCAAGAAAAGCACCACAAATTAACACTCTAATAAAGATTTGCGAAACAGCGTCATGTGCAAAAAGTTTTCAACAACTCATATATATATATATATATATATATATATATGAGTAAATATTACTAGCGCCAAAAATTTAGAAACAGAAATTAGACTTAAAATTATTTTAAGGATCATGATGATTAAAAATAAATAAAACGATAAATATTGAAATATTTATAAAAATCATGCACTTTAGAAACATAAAAATTAATTTCATACCGCAATTAACGGTTCTGAAAGATTTTATGCTTCTCTAACGGACATATATTTAAATTTAAGTGCATATTAAAAAATTGATACACGACAAAAAGAAGAGAAAATAAACCTTCTTTGAATTAAAATGTATGATATATGTTATTTGTTAGTTCTTTCTTTTAAATTTTATTAGATTAATTATAACCGTCTTTTAATCACGCGTTAGTTTATGCGGGTTTTGAGGACAATATTCATTTTGAACAAAATGCGACTTAGAGGTATGCGGCGGTGTTTGGTTCGTAATAAATCAATGTTCTTTTATGGTGCAAATAAAATTTTCTATAATTTTTTTTAATTTTATATGTTTGGGTGTGTATTGATTTTGATTACTGAATCCAACCTTTCTTAGCGTCTGACATTGGAAGCGTGATCATTAGAAAATGTTATAAACGCTTTTAATACTTTGAAATTTTATTCGCCGTCAATCACAGTTTTTGAGCGCTTTGGACTAATATTTAAATACAGTTCTTGTATTTTTAGACGAGATTTCAAGAGTCATATCAGTTGTAAATGATTTATCTACATCTAATGAACGAGCCACTTTCTATTCAATCAGTGAACATCTTCCCACCGACCTTCCTTCAGACCATCTTCAGGAAATTTTAGACGAAGCTGTCTCTCGAGGTTCAATCTTGAAGAATAACGAAGATGGCTCTTATCAACCGACACGTGCACTCAGACCTCACAGACAATCTTTTCCAGCATTAACACCTCGCTTAACTTTTCCATCGGAGACTCATGCTGTCAAGCGGCATAATTCAAAGAGGTTGACGATGATTTCCCTTAATACCAATTTTGGTCCGATGAGCACTCATTGCAGTTACTGTCTTGGGGATATTAACAATAATGTGAAGCATGGAGGCACTCCTGAGGACATGGTCATTTGTTGGAAATGTGGATTGTCCGGTATGATTTTTTGGCATTTAATCGGTTGCTCAAAAATGTTAGATCCGTATTAGCTTATAGTTAATGCTGCTACGAAAGAGGAATACCATTTCACTCACTATGGTGCTTTTAAACATGCAGAAACTCAGCAATTTTTCAATTTGGTAAAATTAATCCGGAATTGGAAAGAAGATGAGGGTTCACATTTTTCTGACCACAAAATTCAAGATTTTAAATTTTCCAAATTATTTGAGTTTACATTTTCGTCCGCTATCTATATTGACGACATTGAAAGTGCATGGTGACCTTATGTTTCGATAATAATATATCCGTTCATTGCTATGCATTGTCCAAATTTCACTGCCTTTCTAATTAAACTTCTACTATTTTTTTATTTTAATTATCGTATTTTTGTGGACACTTATTTGCTTTCACTTTTTTCTGTTTGAAATTTCGCTCTTAAGTTTTTTTGAGATTTTTTTGCAGTAATTATTGAAGGCTTCCTCCCGAATTATTTTGACTTGATTTAATTTTCCTAGTATTTAGCTTTTAGTTTTAATTTGTTCGGTGGGTTATTGTTTTGTTGACAAGCCTCAGTGCTTGGCTAGACAACAAGGTTTATCAATCATCTTTAGCCGGCTTGTAAATAATCGGGGTGTTTCATTAAAAGTAAAGTGGGAATACACATAAATGATTGCTTCTATTAAAATGAACTTGACTAGTTTTTTTTAGCGAGGAGAGACAGGTCTAACCGAAGACTTTGTTTTTATTACGGTATTTGCCAAAACTTGGCGTTTGGTATCTCGAAAGAAGGCGTTTGATAGTCGATCAAAGTTGAAATTTCTACATTGATTTTCAAAACAAATATTGAATTAAATAATGTAGTCCATAAATGTTGCGTTTTATGTCATCTGATAAAGTAACATTGCCGTTAAGTTGTTATATTGTGGTTCTCCTCCTACATCAATATCTGTAGTTTATCACCAAAACTTGTTTTAACATTTAAAATCGAAACTTTACAATTTCGTCTTTTTTCCTTACAGCTCACATATCTTGTCAGGCTCTTACTGCTGAAATTGGTGAGCGTCTGAAGCGAATTCGTTGGAACTGTATGAGTTGCAAACGCTGTGCTATTTGTTCTCAAAATCCCTCCGGTGGTCAAAAACCAGTATCCGCTGATGACCAGAACTCAGATTTACTTCTCTGCGACAACTGCGATCGAGGCTACCACCTCGAATGTGTTGAACCGGGACTGTCTCAACCGCCCGAGGGTGAATGGATCTGTCCGATCTGCAGGGTACATCCGGATGGATTTCCCCAGTCAGATATTGATCCCTCACTCGATTCTCGACTCCAGACAGCCGCTACAGTGGATAAACTAACTCCGGAGGAAATATCTTTTATTGATAATACTCTTAAAGGTCGATTTCTTCCCAAGAGACCTGTTGGCAAACATGCATCTAATTCTTCCAAAAACCTCAAATCTGCACATAAATCAACCATCTCTGAAGAATTTGTTAACGCTGAAGCTCCGGCTACAATAAAAGGTGTGCTTATGATTTTTGGTGTGGATAATATTTATTCCAACGTATCCGTGGTGTTTATTTGACTTCTGGAAGCACTTTACTGTAGTATTTAATGCTTTTAAAGTTCATTATTCGTGGTTTAATCCTTACCTTTTCTGGATGAGTTCGCGTTTTGCAATAATTAGAGCTTGATGACCAGTCGATATGATTATCACTTTGAATCTTGATTGTCTCCGTATGGCTACATACAGTTGTCAAATGAAACTAGCAAAGCTGCTTTAAACCCAAAGGAGATCGCTTGTGTGAGAATTAGACATAACGTCAAACTGGAAACAGCATGAGCTGTATCGTAGGTAGAGAACAAGTCAGAAAATTTTAGAGTGCTACTTACGAAAGAATAAAGTGCAACGAGAACGATCACGTGTACTTAAAGGTATAATCAATAGACGGTTATTAAGCGAGATTGGGTCAATGAGGGACACATAGGAGGTCATTTAAAAGCCTAAAATGAGTGTCAAAGGCTAATTGAAAATGAGGTGTTTTCAGGGCTTCAAGCTTTTACGTACCTCGTCATAAACAAGGTAGAAAGTGATGCATGGTAAAAATTAATGCTTATGGATATTAGGCTGGAAACCTAAATGGGTGGAATCAAGGGTTGTTAGTTGTATGGGCTTGACTAATTAAAACGAATAGATGACCTTATTAAACGAAAAAATTTCATTTATTTGAAATTGGATTCTAGATCATGAAACATTGGTCATTACCCGAGATGCTCCGTCTCTAACTTATCTATCTCCCTGATTCATTTTCTCAGTCCTTATCCATTATATAAAATTCGAAGCTTATGGTCGCTTCTCGATGCCCCTTAAACAGTGAAAAAAAACTTGACATTGATTGGTCATTTCAATAGAGAAGTGGCTTAGTGGACGACCTGATCTGATTGCTTACGCATATCAGAATTATTCGCGAAGCTTCTGCCACAGTTTCCAACCACTATTTTTTTTGCCCTGATGAGATTATTAAACTATCTTCGACCTTCCTTCAATTAGGATGAAATTGAAAAAAATCACGAAAAATCTACGAATTATCTATTTCGCTATAGTGGAAATAATGACGACAAAAATTTATTTTCTTTCTCTTTTTTGTTTAAGATCCGCCTTCTCCAGTTGGAGTACTCAGTGATGAGGATCGGGTGGACTCAATGAGGGATAAACGTATTACACGGCACAGTTCTCGAGTGTCGGAGCATGCCAGAGCAACTCGGTTGTCTGTGTCACGTCGGCGCTCGACTGGTAACAGCCCATCTCCCGATGCCTCTCTTCTCTTATCTCCGACTCATAAGCGTAGTCGATTTGGGGGTTTAGAAACCTCCCTTTCTGAAAGTGACCTTACGGAGTCCTTTGAAACAGCTGAAAACAAAGACATATCGAAAGGTAATTCTAATCACAAGTTGTTTACGCAGTATTGGCCAATATTCATAGCCTTTTCCTCCTATTGTCTGCGTTTACAATCGATTAATGCTGGATATAGTCCATTTCCGGTTGATCTGAATTATCCCATCTTAGTTGTTTTGATCCTTATTATACTCGTTTTCATGGGTGGTTATATCTTCAGTCTTGGAATCTATAGTCTAAAATAACTTAATCTCTTTCAAATTCCACTCTGCCTAGCCTCAAATTAGGAGGAATGCATAACATGTGATGTGAATTCTTGTGCTAGAGAAATGGAAGTGCTCGTTTGTGTTTTGTTAAAGTGGGCAAATTTATACTTGAAACTGGATGAAGATGGCGCGAAGGGGGGGGGGAGTGATTAAAAGTTGTGAATAGCCATTTAAGTAATTCAAATGGAAGTCTAATAGTGACCTAATTGATCTATTCATTTTTTCCTTGTAAATTTTCTCTCGTTCTTTCAGTTATTTTTTTTATTTCCCACTTTGTGTGACAATAGGATTTTTTTATTTATCTTCTTACTGCCCTGGTAAGGTAAATTGGGGAAGGCAATAGGTTTAGCCAGTTTTCATCGTCCTACAGTGTTTTTACGTAGCTCTAGTCTAGACAATTGTTATTATATCAAATGGCAGGCGTTTTGATGGTTATCATTAGCCCTTTAGTTGACTTCAGG